TATTTTCCTTCATTCTTTTCTCATTCTAGTTATTCCTTCCCTTTTAATCATTTCTTTTCCTTGCACATATATACATTTTATGGAACCTGTATAACTTTGTGTTTCAAATTGGATGTGAATTATTGCTAAGATGTGAAGGTACACCCCTCAAAAGTACAGAACTTTTCTAAGTCACATACTGATTACTCCATTATGAATATAAGATTGATATTATCACACAATTGTGTAACTTTACATAATATGTGTATCTACAAAGTTCACATGTATTGCACAATATTGTAAATCTGAAAAGTGCCATAGGCTTTAATGCAGATAGAGTTGATATTACTTCCATGATGTATTGCTTTACAGGAGAATGGCTCGCTGGGGGCAATTTGATGACCTTTATCATATTTCTGAGCTGGATAGAACCCAGATTCCAGTGTCTGATACAAGGAATTCTCAGGATGGTTAGTACCAAAATCTTGTTAATGGGAGAATTATTTTTTCAACCAGTGTAAACTATAATACCTAAATATTTGCCTTTCATACACCATTACTTAATAAACTCTTATTTTACATGCATACTTCTTTAAAACATAGTACTAGAGTGTTACTAGAATGCTCATATGATGTTTAAGAACCTAATGTGGCTGTATACAAATATGTTATTTTATTTTCTTATTATTTGTAGTGTATTTAGTACAGGATCTACAGGGCCTCACTACGCAGATCAGACTCATGGTGATCTTCCTGTTTTCAGCCTCCCAAGATCTGGGATTACAGATGCGTACCACCACATTCATTCTCAAATACATTATTTTTAAAAAAAATCATCAAGTCACTGATCAGATAGAACTAATGTTTTGAATAAAATTTATATCCAAAATTATATATAAAATTGTTTGATATTTTCACAAGAATTAATATACTTTATTATATTCTCCTTAGTTTTGACATTGGACCAGACCCCTCAGATCTAATCCTACCTCTTTTCAGAAGATGAACATTTTATGTAATAAATATTTAAATAACTCTGCTGCTCAGAAAGAAGCAGACACTATCACTTTTTTTTTTTTTTGTGGTACTGGATATTGAACTCAGGACCCTGCACTTGGTAGGTAGGCGCTTATTGTACTAAGCGATCTCCCCGGCCCTACTATCACTTTTACATTTGATAGTTATTCCAATTTTCTTTGAAAGAGGAATCTACTTAAATATAAAATCATCTTACATCAAACTCAACAACCCAAGGGACAATGCCAGCTCTGTGGCATGTGATATTAGTTGTAGTATCGATGATGATATTGATTCTAATGTTATTGGTAGTTGCAATTGACTGCAACTCCAGTCAGTGTTAGGAATGGTGTTTTATGTGATTTTTTTCTTATAATTCTCCTATATAGATATCTAAGTAGGAGCTGGTAGCTAAACTGTGGGGTGGAGCAGCAGGGTTCTTATACATGAAGTGGGGCTGCAGTATTACCAAACCAGGTTCAGGCATATCTATATATCCTGCTAGCATTAGCTGATAAGTTTATACTAAGGACTTCTAATGTTTACTTTTTTTGTTTAAAAAATTCTGTTTTGGCCCTTCGCTATCTCCGTGAAAACCCAGATCTGATAATAAACATGATATTCCTTCAGAATTGCCTCATCTTTGTCTTATGGGATTTGGCATCTTGTTACATACTGTATGGGTTTTTTTTTAATTATCCCTACAAAGACACCCATTAAACCAAGAGAAATGCCAAACATTGGCAACAAAGATAAAAATCTATATTTAATCACCAGTACTAGAGAAAGATAAAACATTACACTCTTCTAATTACAATAGAGTAGTATTGAAGAATCTCAAAGTCAAGTAGAACACATATGCCACCAGATGGCCCTCTTCTTACATAAGAAAATATTATTTGAGGAAATAAGAGACGGTGCAGGAAACAGCTTTGAGGCTGGGAAGATGGCTCAGTAGAATAAGCTCTTCCCTGGCAAGCACGAGGGTCTGACTTTAATCCCCAGTTATGCAAAAAAAAAAAAAAAAAAAAAAAGGAAACTTCTTTGAATTTTTTGCATGTTAGCTTAGAAATACATGGTAGCTAACCCACTTTCACTGAATACTCTGCCCACCCAAAAGATAGCAGTTCAGTCCAATGCTATGCTATGATTTTATATTCTAAGACCTGCTATGGAAGTTGGAAAGACACAGTAACCTAATGTTGACTAGTAGTCACTGTTGAACACATATGCCCCTAAACAGTAGGTTGATGGTCAAGGAAGGGGAAAAATCACCACATCCCTTGAGTGTGTGATAAAGAATGTGATGCAAATTGTCTCTCTCATATATCTAAAACACCATACAAAGCGTTTGCCACTTTTGCTTTCACAAAAGTTGGGAACAAAATCATAAGCTTCTACATACCATAAAAATGGCTTTGGTTCAATATTTATTTATTTATCTATTTATTTATTTTGTATTTTAGTAAGGGTCTACAGGGTCAACAGGGTCTGCCTGTGTTCAGCCTTCCAACTGCTGGGATTACAGGCGCATGCCACCACGCCCAGTCTCCATCTCTGTCTCAGTGCGTCCTAGGGGTGTGGCCAGCAGGGCATGCCAGAGATCAAACCCGGGCCAAAGTCTCTGCCTAAGAAGGCACTTTAATCCACTGAGCTGCTTGGCCAACCATTTAATACTCATTTTTTTGAACCGGGGATTGAACTCAGATCCTTGCATTTGCCAGTCAAGCATTTATCCTACTGAGCCATCTCCCTGGCTCCTTTAATACTCATTTCTAAGTAAGGGTCCAATAACCTTGAAGCCAAGGTAAAACAAGACCCTGACCTGACCCCATTACTTATAAGCACTATGTTCATAAATAAGTCTCTTAAGATTGTAAAAGTCTATATAATTTACCTTTTATTTTATTTTTGTAAATAATTTTATTGAGAAACAAATAGCAATGAGACAGTTTCAAAATCGAGTAGGAGAGTTTCAATAATTAATACATTGCATATTGTTGTCTTCTTAGTGGTTATTCACAGTACAAGATGCTGACAAGATATCCTGTCCAAACACTGTTAGTATAAATCTTTCTTCTCATTGAATTAAGAGAATAGCTGTATATCTATCCTAACTATGTTGTATATACAGATGCAAAGTGTTCATTTGTATCCCCTTTTTTGGTTTAGTTTTGTCAGAGAAGGCTATTCCATTGTCATTTAAATATTGTAGGTGTGTGAATTCAGCAAAATATTCCAAACTAGTCCAACAATTTACCTTTAGTCACAATAAATTCAGATTGAAAGAGAGTGCTCAAACCCTACACATAAACTCATTGTGATCTTTTCTGAGACATGGTTCTTTGCTGGAATTTGCTCTCCAGTCAATCTTAGACAATGTTATGTAGAATATGTATCTGTCTATGTATTACCATATAGTAAAGGGCAATCTTTTAAACATCTTGAAAATGCTAATAGTTCTAAAATTAATGAAAGCATATACCAATCTACCCAGGATGCAAGATAGGCAGCTAAGTGATTTTGGCTTTTAACTTTTATTCTTTCCAGACTATTTATCTTATCACAGCAGTACTCTGAAGCCATATGCAGATGAAGAGCCAGAATCCCCACTGCTCTATAGATGTATGAGTGAAGCAGCACTGGTGAGAAAGCCCCCAGTGACAGACAGAAAGGACAAACAGGCCCACAGGGCCTCTATTAATGGACACTTCTATAACCATAAAGTGAGTTACAATTCTACTAAGGTGATCTAAATTATGTTGTTTTATACTAACAATATTGTATTTCTCAGTTCAGTTCACAATTTAAGAGTACAAATGAGTAAATTGAGGTTCACAGAGGTCAAGAAATCTGTCATGCTGCTTTTAAGAATTCTGAACTTGAATTCACAATTGTCCAACTCTAAAACCTAAGGTTTGTTTCATCAGTGAAATGATGGAGACTTCAAGGTGTAAAGTGAGTTGACAGAGTTAACCCTAGAACCTGTCATTTGAATCCTAACCTAGTGCTGCTGTCATGTCCTGTGAAGCTTCATTATATAAACAATACCAGACTACACATCTAACATGGCTTCATCTCAGCTTACTGCAGGGTGAACATATATTTCTCCAGCAAGCTCATGAGCTGCTCATTTGTGGCATAAAGTGACTCATCCATGTACAACCCAATTTCCAGGTTGAATTTTCTTACTAATGTTTGTTTCAGACATCTTCCATATATTTTCCCATAAAGATTTTCTACATATCCATGTTGTTTTCTTATACCAATGGAATATACATATCACAAATCTATGTCTATATCTGTATCTATACTGACTTCCAGTTTAAGACATTGATTTAACATTCCGTTGAGCCACCCCAAAACCCAGCATCTTCCTAGCTGGACCTACCTATCTCCTGGTAAATTTTGGAATACCTGCAAATTGCACACATAAATGAAACATGGAAACAAAGCTTTACTTAATATAATTTTTCCTTTGTAAATGAATATCTCATGACATTTTGTGTCTACTTTCTTCTATATAAGGAGTATAATGTTTTTACTTTTTGGTACTATCCTACACATAGTTGCATTTCTTCCACGATAAATGTCCTGAGGTATACACGTACTATCAGCTACTTACCCATTCACTCTTGCTTCCTTCTATTAATTTGAACATATTGTAGTTGTATCATAGAATTTAAAATTAATTTTATTTAATCATAAGAATTAATAAAGCATTTAGAATACCTTTGGTATACAGTTAGGACTATATTAAATCAAGTTATTTGATTGTATGGTATCCTTTGGAATAATATCATTTCAGTATTTCTATATTCTTACATTAGGTTCAAGATACTATTATTAATTTGATAGAACTTTAGGGACTAATAAGACTTTTTTCCCTAGACATCAATTTTCACCCCAGCCTTTGGATCAGAAACTAAAGTCAGAATAAACAGTAACATGAGAACTGAAGAAGTAATCAAGCAACTTCTCAAAAAATTTAAGGTAATCTTTATGACTAAACATATATATATATATATATATATATATATATATATATATATATCACAATTTAACTATAGGCAATTAATTTCACTCTTCTGACAAGACCAGTGAACATGTGCATATAAATTGGGTGTCAGTTCTCAAGGATTTTTCCCTTTTTATAGCATGTTGCTAAATATGCCCTGAGAAAAGAAGGAAGAGAAAATTATGTCATATATACACATATATATGTATGTATAATTATGTTAACATAATTATAGTTCATTGAAAATATTGATTTGTGTTTATATTGATTGATTTTTGCATACCTACATCTTGTAATTTGAACAACTACTTTGAAGACAATAGTATACCATATATTAGAAATCACATTATTCCCAGTGGAGCAGAGTAAGTTTTATGTCTGCAAGTAAAAAGGGAAGTCAACACACAAATGCATGATTTCAGTCTATCTTTGAAAACAAAAACAAAAGCAGAAAAAAAACATGTTTGGTCTTTTTTCCCCCATTGACAGATTGAAAATAGTCCTCGGGATTTTGCTCTCTACATTATTTTTGCAACGGGAGGTAAGAAAGTTTTATCACTTTTTACACCTGCTCTTTGTGTATTAGCCAATATAGTTGAAAGAAGAGCAAATTACCTCATGTGTGCAGGGAAGGGATGAAAGATCAGAGAAAGGGAAAAGTTTTTTGCTGTTGTTTGTGTGGGGATTAGTGCTGGGATTTGGAAGTAAACCCAGGAATTTGCACATATCAGACCATGTTGTACTGCTGAAATGGCTCTAGAATGCTAATCATATTACTTTATTTCAGAGAAAGAAAACCTAAAAATAAGGCACCCTTAAAGACAATTTGTATTCTTATAATGAAATAGAGTTTGCTTGCTTTTGACTGAATGGAGATCATAACCCTCTGTAATCCGCTGAAAATTCTCTGAGATCTGAGAGGAACCAGGTGCTTCTACATCTCCCTTTCTGGCTTTGCCTCCTCAGGCTAGCTGTTACTGTAGCTCTCCAGTCAGTCATCACTGAGTACCATTTCCCTCTGACCTCAATGTTTCACCTTTCTTACTGAGCACAAAGCTGACATGCTGTAGTTGTGCTGTCTTTTCCTCAAAAGAGAGGTGTGTTCAGAACTTATCAGGGATGTTTTGGGACTCACACAGGCTAAGTAAGAACTCTTTCATGAAGCTATGTCCCTGGGATATGTGTTTTTAACAATCATGCCAGGTGATGGGCTGCAGGCTTATGAAGTGTGAGACCTTGCTCCTCAATATCAAGGCTGGAACAAACCAAGAGAACTAAACCAAGTTAACATTGAACCTACAGGTCAAAAGAAGATTTTGGGACATGATGAGAGAGTAAACTATCAGGGTTCCCTATTGCTTTGAAAATTGTAGGGGAATGAAAACAAAAAGCTCTGACTTCATGGAAGCGGCAGTTGGTAGTGACAGTCTAAATGTGCTGATGCTTTTCAGTTGCAGAACCTTGCCTCACTTTTTCCTGTGATAGGTTCAGCTGGGGGATGAAAACAATCTTCACTCAGAGGAAGAAAGTGAGGAGCAGGGAGGGAAGAATGAAGAAAGATAAATAAAGGGCACTTATTTTGGAAACACTTCATTTTGATAAAAATGTAGTCTCAGATGTGAAATTACTTTGACAGAATGCTTGGAGTACTTTTCTGATAGGAGTATTTATATGATAACTAGGAAATTTGAGTTCTTGGAATATATAAACTTTCATGTTCTATCTCATTTTTTATTTTATAAAGAGAGTACAAAATAGTATTAAAACAGAAACATTAGAAGGATACAGCATTACACTTAACAAAATAATACAAATTTCACAGCATTTATTGTAATGCATAGTGTTGTGTTCCAACCAGTTATACCTATTACTAGATATATGCATACAAAATTAGAAGAAGAAAGAAAAAATAAAGAAATTAAGAAATTTTTCTGTTCTTAAGAAATTAAGAACAGAAAAAGGAGAAACAATTGAAAAAAGGGAGACAAAGAATTAGGTATTATCAGCTCCTTTCCATAGACCAGCGGAAATCCACAGTACAGTTGTCCAAATCATCTTGTTTACATACATAGATATATCACTTTCCCCAACTCTCTAACCTTCTCCTAAACTCAGCAATTCTTTTCTTTTGAATAAGTTCATTCCCTTTGCCCAGTGTTTAGATTACATTTTCTCTTTTAAGTTATCACACTAAGGAGACAATATGATGTTTGCACATGCAGGTCTGATTTATTTCACTTAATAGTATGGTCTTTACTTGTATCTATTTACCAAAAAAAAACTTTCCAATTTATCCTATTTTATTTTATTTATGTATTTAGTATAGGGTCTCCAGGGTCTCCAGGTTCTCCAGGGTCTCACTACACAGGTAAGACTTGTAGTGATTCTCTTGTTTTCAGCCTCCCAAGAGCTGGGATTACAGGCTTACTGGGCCTGAAATTGTAGGATTACTGAGTGCCACCATGGCCAGTCTCAATCATCCTCTCAGCACGCCCTGGGGACAGGGCCAGCATGATGTGCCAAGGATGAACCCCGATTCCTGTGCTCTACCTATGCAGGCACTTTAGTTTGCTGAGCTATCTGGCCAAACCCTGAAATTTATCCTATTTATAGCTGAATTGCATTGAAATATATCTTCTTTATCCCTTACTCAGTTGATGGGTATCTGGGTTGTTTTCAGAATTTGGCTATGACAGATTGCACTGTTATAAACACAGGTGCACATATATCACTGTGGTGTGATGTTTTCAATTTTTCTGGAAAGATACTCATGAAGGGAATAGTTGGCTTCAATGGGATCTCCAATCCTAGCTTTTTAAGGAAACTTCACACTGATTTCCAAAGTGGTTGTTCTACAACCACTACATTCCCACCAACAGTGGGAAGGGTTCCCTTCTCCACACAGCCCCTCCAGCATTTGTTATTGGCTGACATCTTTTTTAAATTTTATTTTTATTTATATATCTTTTTTTGTGGTACTGGGGATTGAACTCAGGACCCTGTGCTTGCCAGGCAAGTGTTATCTCCCCAGACCCTGGCTGACATCTTAATATTAGACACTCTTTCTCGGGTGAGATGGTATCTTAGTATTATTTTAATTTGCATTTCTTGAATGACCAATGATGTTGAACATTTTTTCATATATTTACTTGCCATTTGTGTTTGTTCTGAAAAGTGTATTTTCATCTCAGATGCATTTTTGAATTTGGTCTTTGAATTTAGGGGACGTGATTTTTTAAAAATCTCTGTGTTCCAGACAGAAGTCTTTTTGTAGAGAGATAGTCAGATATAATTTTTCTTCAATCTCTTTTCTTAGAGTACCATAACTTTCACTGTATAAATCTTTTATTTATTTTGTGAGACTGATTCCTAAGTATTTCATGTTTTGTTTTTGGTGTTTTGCCCATGATTTTATTTTTTATTTTTTTCCACAATTTTATTGAGAAACAAATAGCAATGAGACAGTTTCAAACCAAATTGGTAGGACAGTTTCAAAAATTAACACATTGTATACATTCTTCCTAGTGG